CAGTTTATTTTTATATTGATGGAAGATTGAAAATAGTGAGTGAGAGATTGAAAATAGACAATGAAAAAACATTTTACTGACACAATGCAATTATGAAAATCTAGTTAGATCATCAAACATTTCTTACCAATGCAGAAATGCACCAAATAAACTTTCTCCCTAAGGCCACTACAAAAGACAAGTGCTGTTTTGGGGATTTCTGATTAGCATTTCATAGCTGGCAATCCCCCCTTTTTTTTCCTTTTCATTACAACTTCCAGTTTTTAATCTTTACTAAGAAAAATGTTTCCCAGCGATAAATGAAATTTATTGAATTGATAAATCTTGGTAATTTAAGTGTGTGGTATATACCATTTCCCCATACCTAATGATTTTCAGTGTAATTTTATTTAATTTTATTTGGTCTGAATGGTTTTAATTGATTGTTGATATTTGTAGCATTTTTTATAAAGATTTAACCAATAATTAATAAATTAACATTTGTATTTAATTTAGTTTTACATTAACATGTTTAGTAAAATTCTTCCCCAGCCTTTATTTTCACTACCATTGGTCATATATACAGGGTGATTCTAAATTACTTTTACAGATTAAGAAGGGTGATAGTACTCATCCAGATGAACAATACTTACCATAGAATATAAGATCGCATTCCACTCTGAGAGGTAGAAAAGAAGAATATTCGAATTCCAATCTGAACTTACAACAGTGTTGGAAGAGCGAATGAACGAGACCAAATGTTGCACAATCAGTTTAGTGACAAACTCGCAGAGTGCACAAAATGGATAAAACCGAAAACTTGACGTTCGAGTGTTAATTCGAGCTCAGACTTTGATGGCAAACACTCAAAAGCGCATCTTGGTTGGCAAGGTCTCAACCTCCCAAACGATTGCAACAAGTTAATTATGTAATCAAGGGCTGAATGTTATCAACTAACTACAACGTCAGCTGCATGCCAAGATTAGCATGAAAAGCTCATGCTGCATTCCGGCTGTCGGAACGTCGTGCCCCATAGAACTAGGCTTCAAGTAGAATGAGCGCAGCAGAGCAAATCCAGGAAGACAGGATAAAAGATGGCTAAGAGAAAAACAACTGTTACCTTGATACTTGATGTCAAGGTAGTTTTTCCCCCTAATAATTTAGATAATCAACATGTTGTAATCATTTGCGAGGTTGAGACCTTGCCTACCAAAGATGTGTATTTGAATGTTAGCCATCAAAGTCTTAGCTCTAATTAACGCTCAAACGCCAAGTTTTGGGTTTTATCCGTTTTGTGCACTCTCTGCGAGTTTGTCACTTAACTGATTGTGCAACATTTGGTCTCGTTCATTCGCTCTCCCAACACTGTTGTAATTTCAGATTGGAATTCTAATATTCTTCTTTTCTGCCTCTAAGAGTGGAATGTGACCTTATGTTCTATAGTAACTATTAATTGCTCATCTGGATGAGTACTATCACCCCTCTTAATTTGTAAAAGTAATTTAGAATCACCCTGTATATATATATATATACATTTTCTTCTGCCCCCTATACTATATTGAGAAAAATTTAAACTTGTTATAAAATGTTCTGAGAAATGCTAGCAGGCTTCAGCATTGGCAAGAAGCCAACTCATAATCTTATTTGCGTCTGTACATTAATGAATTTTTGTACTATTACTGGATGATTCCAAAGTAGTAAAACTTGATGAGACTATTAATACATTTTAAACTTTGGAAACATGTTAATTATTTGAGTAAAAAATTTGTTATATGAAGTGTAATAAAATTATAAATTAGATATTGGTAAATCCAAAAATAGTAGCATTTAAGGAGGACAGAATCTGTCAATTTATTCCAATTTATTTGCTAACCAATCCATCAATGCAAATTGAGTCTGATGTCAATTGTAGATTTTGAAGTTAAATATTTCAATCACTTTTGGCTATAGAGTCAAATCTTTTTTATTTTTTAATATAGTGAGTATAAAATTTTCTTAAATGTAAAAAAACTGAGGAACATATAAAAGGCTAGATTTTGTAATATCTATAAAACTAATTTTTTCAAGTTTAAAAATGCCCTAACATTAATATGTGTGTCATTTAAAATGCTCTTGTAATTGAAAGTCTGCGATGAACAGCTGCTAAACCAAAGGCCAGGTGGACTTTTGAGGACATGGTGTATAGTATATTTATATCATACTTGTATATGGTATATTTACATTGCATGTCATATATTACATGAATATATGGCAAGTTTGTCTATGCACTAATATGTACATTATTAGTTTAGCTAAGTGGCATTGCTTTTTGAATTTATTTATTCAAACGGCATTTATTTGTATTTAAACAACATTTATCAACAAAATTTGTATAATTACTTACATGTAATATATGTTCAAAATTTTCCATTTATTAAGATATTTACATCATTAAAGAAAGTAAGAAATCAAAATATTTTTAATTATGAATTAGTATATAAAGTAAGCAAAACACACACACACACACACACACACAAAAACTCATACAGTATAAAGGTTAATATGCCCCTCAGGCTAAATCATATTTAAAAACACTTCTTTCCTACTCAAACAGGACTTTCAAACTGTAAGAAAATTACAAAATGAACTGAGACAAAGAACATTAAATATTAATGAAATTTTTATCAGAATCCTGTTGTAAATAGTTTAATAACATAAATCAAGAAAGTCAGTTTAAGACAATTTTGAAATGGTGCAGCATTAGAAACCTCCTGTTTTTTTATATTTCAAGGTTGGCAGTTATGGTATTTACATCTTTTCTTTTCATGTAGTAATTGTTTTTAATATTTCTTATTTAATAGAAAGGCTTGAAGAATGTTTTTGATGAGGCAATATTGGCAGCTTTGGAACCGCCTGAACCTAAACCAAGACGAAAATGCAGGCTGTTATAAGATCAAGGTTTAAGTCGACATCAAGACGACCTGAAATTTTCATCTCTTGGCTTTTCTCCTTCTCTGAACAATTATATTCAGTGAAACATCATAAAAAAATTGCTCTTTTTGTAATCCAGAATCCATTAGCGAATCCCTGCGCTAATTGTATCATTTTCTGGACTACGTTATTGTACTCCTATATGTTAAGCGCATTTACCAAACTAAACATCATTTAGCATGTTTCAGGGTTAAATGAAAAGGACCAAGACTGATTATTAAGTGCCACTTTATTTCATTTCTCTAAGTATAGTATGGAGAAAAGATATGCCAGCAAAAACTGTTTTTCAACCTGCTGTATAGGTTGTCTTTTTAGCTGGTGGGTTTTCTATTGATGGAGGATGATTGTTTGATGCTGATCTTAATCATGGTTGATTTTTTTATGAGTGTTAGAGGAAAGGTGGAGAACCCATGTCCTTTTTTTGCCGATGCAATACTTTTAGTTTAGTGTTATGTAAACCTTGTTTTATATCTTAAATTATTATCAGATGACCATAATATTTTAGTTGCCACAATCCATTTTGTAATTTCTAATGAAATTTAATCTGAGTTTATAAAAAATTATAAAAATTGAAACAATTAGTCTTTTTATATATTTCTTGTGCATATTGAAAGTGTTTTGGGGATCTAAAACATTCATTCCTTTTTAGTCCTTAAAGTGCCTCAGAACAATTTTTGGGAAAATATATTGTTGTAACTGCAGCCATGCATAGGTATTTAGATTGTTGGATTGTAATACATGCTCAATATAAATTTTCATTGTGTAGAACTTGAGTTAATACAGTTTTATTATGCTTAATCTGTTAAGTGTACAGGAAACATTTACTTTTTTGAAATAATCTCCCTGTGGCACCTTTGGTATGCATGTTCCCTCCTTTGGGTGAGTAGTCAGCTTATTGCTTATATTATGCATTTATCTTTTTTAGGCATGTAAACATTCTTTCTAAAATATAAATTTTTTAACTTGCCCATATTCTTAACAGACCCATCAAAGTTTCTCTTCAGGGTGCTCAAACTGATTTTCCCCTTTAATCATTAATTTTATCAGTTTTTAAATGCAATTCTAATTCCATTTCATTGATTTTTTTAAATATTATTATTATGCACAGTAGGTGCTCATTGCGACCCAACTGATTGTAATTGTGTTGATAACTATTTATGTGATTTTTTTCAATTGTTTGTGCATTTTTTGTTTTGTACTGTACAAATCAAAAGTAAGAGCACTGTTCAGCACAATGTGTCTTCCTAATAGAATGCTGTTCAGTATTTAAAGAAAATATTAAAAAAAAAATAATAATGTGAAATGGCTTCTGCCTGTTTGTGTGTTATAAGAGACAGCCTGTGCCACATGTTAATATACACTTTATGTACTGGATGAAGCAATTTTAATAAAAAAATTAATAAACTATATTGTCTTTGCTTTACTGTTGTGTGTATTCCTGTGTAAACAATATGTGATTTGTGCCAAAGCTTATTTCCCTCTTCCAGTGTCAGTGTTTTTAAATGATTAAAATGGTTTTCTTATCAGTAACATTACAAAAACTAGCAGTAATATGTATTCTATAAAAATTAATAAATGATTATTTTTTAAAGGGAAAATTCATTAAGAAATGGTATAATTTATATTTAAAAATTCTGCTTCCTTCTTATATAAGTACTTTGTGAGTGGTATTTTGAAGAGAATGAATAAATTTATTATGTATGTGCTTTTTTAATTAAAAGATTTTGAAATACCTTAACACTGATGATTTATGGTTTGCCTAATATAGCAGTACACTCTTTTTATTTCATTGGTGAGGTTATGTTGAAATAGTTTGCATATTGTATTTGATATTTGTTAATAATTTAAACTTCCATCATAATCTTAAAATTCTCTTGCAGAGTTGCCAACTCTCCCAATTTCCAGCTGTTCTCCCGCCAATCTGATTTACAATATATGTCTCCTAACTTTCTGTTATTCTTAGCATATCTCACGATTTTTATGTATCTTGGCTTTATACTTCTTTATTTGTGTCTCCAAAAAGTGATTTTAGGTATCTTGTTTTTCTCTAGACTGCATAGTAGTTTCATCAATGAAAAATTAACGGTGCACTTCTGCTTTGTGTGTGAGAGTATATATCTGAAAACATTGCGTTCCATTTCTCCAATGAGCATGAAGTGCTACTGCATGACAACTGGCACATATTAGCCCGATGAGCACAAAAGCAAGATTGAGGTTGTTATTTTGTTCATCATGTCGCTAAGCTGTTAAGAACATATGTGCTTTTGAGATTTTTAAGAATGGTTTAATACGTAATATTTTTAATTACTTAAATAATTTTAAGAATTGCAATATTTTGTTTTAGTTGTGTCTGCAGAAAGGTAAAATACTCATGTACTTTTCAAAAATCGTACACCGATGACTTCTATTATTTCCTCAAGGAATGCAATAAATTTGCAATGTGTATCATTGGTCATTGCGTTTTTTCGATTTTTTCGGTCCAATGTTCTCAAACGTGCTGACACAAAAGCACAAGGACAACAGTTCTATTGAAAAAAGCAATTTTTTTCTGTGGAAACAAAGGGCATTTAGGAATTAGTAGTTGAACTTTCAGATATTAATTAATAACTATTTAAAGTTAATTCATTATTAAAATATATATTTTATCATTTAAAAATCTAAGGATTTCTTAAAAAATTCCTCCAATTTTTGAGTATTGTAGGTTGGCAAGTATGCTTTTGGTATGATTCCTTGTTAACTACTGTAAATGAAATAATGCCTGTATTGTATGTAATGGTTAAAGTTTTAGTGAATTTAAGAACACTGATCTTCTAAATCATATTTGCCATATTAACCATTTGCGCTACCACTATTTCACGGTTGCGGTGCCGTGCGCTACAATATAACAAGCAGTAAAGTGTCTCGTTTACGCCGCTCCGCGTCTGCGAATGCAATCTAGAGCTGTAACTCGAGAAATAAACTGTTTGAAATTAATCAATTTCTTGACTTATTTAATAACTTCGGATGAATGGTAATATATTTCGCAGAGAAAACTTTTTTTAATTAACAACAAACTTATTTATTTAGCATTTTAAACATTACAAAAAGAATAACATACCGTGAGTTATCAAGGTCAAAGCAATATATAAAAAACAACTGTTGCCACAAAAAATCTACATTATAATGAACATATTAAATTATTGTGTATTAACTCTGTGCACGTTTCTAAACATAAACAATCTCGTTGTTAGGCGAGGTGTGCAACCCGTTTTTTTATTTTTGCGATAAATGCCTATCGACGTGGTGTTCACGTCGCTTGCGGTTTGAGACAAAAGCAGCTCGGCGTGCATGGCACGTCTTTTTAGCGCAAGTGGTTAAAGAAAAATACTGTGTAAAAATAAATGAATGTTGCTTTCAACCTCTTTTCTCCTGACACCAGTTTCCTTGTTAACCATGACCTTAAAATGTTTGTCCGAGCATGCAAAATTAATTCCTACAAATTCTGTTTTTATCAAAATATTTCGGTTTTTATAACATAAATATAATATCCTTCTATTCATACTTCAAATAAAACTTTAAAATTAGCTAACCCTACAAACTGCCAAGTGTTTAGGCCCCCAAACCTCAAAATTTACAAAAAGATCATAAGTAGCATTTTCTTGATTATATAATGACCAAGTTGCACCTTGAATCCTTTTCCTCCAAAATATATATGTAATGAAATTGTGTGGGCACATTTTAAAATCTCTATCTGCGTACTTAGATTTGGCTAATATTAACATATTTTTACAACTTGGTTGCTTTATAGCGTTAAACTGCAGTATTAGTAGTAATGATTATATTTACATACTGAAACTATTTTTGTATGAGAATGGAGTAGAAAACATAAGAATTTAATTATCTTTATGTATCACAGCCTATTTCCATACTTAAAAACACAATTTTAAGCTAATTGTACTATGTAAAACATTTCTGAATTCTAAATACAGTACAAAGTCCGTAATCCGGACTCGTCGGGACTTCGGCGATTCCGGATTATAGATCATCAATTTAAATCTGGTAAGATGGCATGCAGAAATTATACAATTAAAAATATGAAACCATAATTTATGAAATAAAGAGCAATTATGATCTAAAGGGTATCAAAATTTACAAAAAAAAAAAAAAAAGCTTAATATTTATTTGTTTACTTTATTAAACATTTCTTTCAATGTAAGTTGTTTAAGTTGCTTCGTTTTGTGCTAATACTTTCTCTTTAATTCTATAAACAGACATAATTTCTTGTTTAGTTATAAAGTTCCACTGTTGAAGTCCTGTAATTGTTGTGTCGAGAATACAGACTAACTTGTCAATCGAAATTTTTTCGTTTTCAATAACTTCTCTGTCACATTCTTCACTATCGGAAGTGCACATGCGTAAGTTTGTGGCTTTGAGGTCCGGATAATGGATGTTTGGATTACGGACTTTGTACTATATGTATTATAAACACAGCACATATTACCATAGAATGAAATTATAAGTAATATTCATACCAAGAAGGTTAGCAATCAGGCCTTTTATTTAAGTTTCATAAAATTCTAACATTATTCATTCATATTTTGCATTTCAAATAAAGTATTCTGTCTCAACAGATCAAATATGATATAGTGAGATTTCGTTAGTCTTTGACATTTGATATGGTGTACCCATAGAATGAAACTGAAGTATATCATGTATGATGTGCTGGGAGTGAAGAAGTTAGTAGCTTAAATTTATAACAGAATTGTAACTTGTTGAGAAAGAGCATTTCAGTGTTGTTCATGTGTGTATGTTCTGGAACTTAGATGAAGGGGAAATGAGTAATGGAAATTATTTTTGACTTCGTTCAAACAAGAAATAATTCTGTAAAATTGGGCAATTTATAAAAACTTTGGTTAATATATTTTCATATATTTAGATGTATTGGTAATGACCAATGCCATCTAATGATATCCCTTGCAATTTATAAGTGTCTAACATTTTTAAATTTATAATCTGGTTATGAACACACTGAAAGGATTTTGACTCGAATAATTTGTAAGTTTTCACATGCTAAAATGATGTGAATAATATTTACATTTACATGCAGTTTTATTTATTACCTTGTGATCATAATTTATTGATATTCATCTAAAAAGTTGTGTGGTTTTGTAGAATAAAGTAGTACAAAAGCATAAAATTTCATAAAGTGTAAAGAATTTACCAAAGAACTATTTGACAGTCTTCAAAGAAATCAATTCCAAGCCATTCAGAGAATTTTTAAAGAGGTGAAAATCTGAGGGGCAATGTCTAGTGAATGTGGAAGAATGTATACTAAACATCCCAGCCATATTGAGTAAGTTTTTGTATGGCATTCACTGAAATGTAAGGCCGAGCACTGGTCATAATTGAAGACACTTAGATGATTGACCATGCTTTTGCTTTAGTTTTTGTTTATGCCTTTGCTTTAGTTTTTGCTACCATTTTGGAACTGTATTTTTTAAAATTTATTGTCTGAATTTGTAGCAACAATTTCATGGTATATATTTTCTTTTGTAATCCCACCGTATATAAAGCATTACCTTTTGAATTGTAGCCACCCTTTTGATATTTTTAAAGGAGGTTCTTTTGGCATAATTAGAAACATGATAAATATCGTTAAAAATAATTATAATAAATTGAAATTATACTTGTATTTAAGAAATAACAAAAATAAAAATATTTATTAAAGTGACCGTACTATCCATTTTGGTGACTTAAAAATAAACAAGATAATAAATGCTATAAAGCACAGTTTCTGAAACACTTCTTAGAAAACAAAAATGCTACTATAACTATTTAAAAATTAATTTCATTTGTATTTTTATACTTTTTCATGTTAAGAGTTTTTCTCGTGTAATTGTTTCAGAATATTTCAATATGCATCAGTTTTCTCTTGAAAATTCACTTTATCCTTTTCTTTTGTGACTTTTAAAAAAAAATCTTCAGGCTTTTTGCTCTCACAGAGGTGATTAGGATAATTTGTCTTTTGGATTTTAGACCTTTCACCTCTCAGATCTGAAGGCAAGATTTATAGACGTAAAGTTTCCAGAAAAATGTGAGATGAAAATTAGCATCATGTTATTATTATGTAATGGATGTGTTTTGTCGGATATTTATGAAGAATATTTGGGAGAGCAGTGAAAAGAAAATTATTTGAATTTTCTCCTATTTATCCAAGAAGTCTTTCTCTTAGTATATTTATTTATCTTTCCATTAGGCACAAGCACCAAAGAAATTAAAAACTGACAATTAATTAAAAGATTCATCATATATGTCTCTATGTACTATACATACTTCAGCACCTGGCCCTACATTAAAAAAAATTATGCTGGTCTTGACCTTATATCATTTCATATTTATTTTGAATACCTATATTAAAGAAATAAAATTACCAATATCTTCTCTACACTCTAAGCAGTTCTTTAAAATAACAAAAAAAAAAATTTTAACGAACTCTGAAAATTCTAAAATCGAGGAAATTGATTGAAAAAAAAAAAAAAATATCCTTCAAAGGTACATTATTGAAACATTAACAAATTAGGTGATGAAGCAGAGAACTAGTGGGAGCATTGCTTTGTTTATTGAAAAAAAAAAAAAAACTTAAAAAAGATGCCAAAGGGTAGGAAATCTATGTATAAATTAGCTAAAATATTTAAAATTTTCAAATTAAAAAGGCATATAAGTATTTTGTTGTAGCTGCAAAACATAAATTTGATGTAGCTTCTAATGTAATCATTTAGGAATCAATGTTATAAATTGTAACTCTAAAATGTTCTTGGTGCTTTCGTAATGGCTATTTCTTAGAAATTTTTTTAAAATTCTAATTGTAACCATGTAAATATATTATCGCTAAGAGTAACTACATAATTTAATTATTTGTAACTAACTGCTAGAAATTATCTCTTATTGTGTATGTAAGATACAGCACAAAAATGGGAAAATTTATTCCTTACAGCTAATTAGACTTAATGCCAAACGACTTACCATCTCTAGTATTTCAGTGGCTTATTGGAACTTTATATTAAATACTCTATATCAATTGGGTTGCAACTTCAGCAAATTTGCATGAAACTAAACTGGTGTGCAAAACTTAAGCGACAATGTAAAAATTTAGCAGATAGCCATAAAATTGCAGAAAAGGAGGTCTGGTGATCAGTATAATGAACACGTAAGTGAGTAGAAACGTTATGTGTATG